AAAAGACACTACTCCAACTATAATTAGTCATTGCATCATACGACGATGAGTTCTGCCTAACTGATAAAAAAACAAAAGAAGTGAAGAGGAAAAAGAAACCAATACTTCGCTCAATAGTATGAATACATTCACTTAGCCAATAACATGCAAGGACGAAAAAACAATTTTGATAGTGAAAATTAACCTCAACGTCACTCTCAATATCATTTTTATTCAGATGATGATCATTGATTACTGATGAAATATAATAGACGTTTTTGAGTCCATTCAACATCATTATGTACACATTTTTGTCTTCAATCTTCAATAACAATGAGTTAACATTCTCCAAATAGAGTTGCATTAAAAATTACTTTAACAATTGCTGATTTTTAACGTTGCTTTCAACGATGAAAATATCAGACGATCATTGATCAAATGTTTTGAATAGTTATCTAGCTCACTGCAGTACTATATATGTCTAGAAGAACGTGCCTATTTTTTTTCAACAAGTCCGGAAAGTGTTCACTATAATGCAGTTTTTTTTATATCTCAAAAATGATAACAGATAATCAAAAAAGAAAATTTCTAGACGTTTTCTTTTTTTTTGTATTAAATCATATAAAAGTCAGTTGTTTTCATGAGATTTCTATAGAATAAAGCTGACATGACATTCGTAATGTCATTCAAAGTATAAAGCAAAAAATAAAAGAGAACATTCATCGGAAATATATTTAAAAATATATATCTTATGTCATATTGTCTTGTATATTTAACAATCATTTTTTTCTTGTCAATTCTAATATCAACATTAGAATAGTTAATCTATTTATTTTTGTCGTATATCTTAAATAAAAATCTATTCTAATTTCGATATCAATTTTTAAATTATGTAGATATATGATTATCCTTTATTTTGTCACTATCAATCATTCAAGGAAATAATTGACCTAATTAAATTATATTTTGTCATCAATCTTATGTAATCGAAAATGAATATTATATTATTCGTATAAATATAATCAGAGCATGACGTATATTAATCAAGAGATGAATAAAACATATTTATTATTAAATGTTGGAATTTTCTTCTAAAACATAAACGTTTGTTTTTTTTTATAGAATTTTGTTTTTTCTTTACAAAGAAGAATTTGATCATAAGATGTTCTAAAAATAAAAACATTTATCTATTTCATATGAATGCAGACTTAAGGCCCCCCCCCCCCTCAAAAAATGTTCGTTTTCATCAAAAATTTCGAAATTGAGATAATTGTATGGAAAGATAGCCCGTCTTCAGATCTTTCAGAAACAATATGATTTTTAAGCCGACACCCCCGTTTCGGACAAGATTTTTGATGATTTCCGTTAACGTCGTCTCGAAAAATATGCTTATTTCGAAAAAACTGAAAAATATTTTTCGTTTTCTCTCAGTTTAGGCTTTCTGAACCGCGCAATCCATTTTTCTCTGTCCAAGCTCATCAAATATATTTAAATTTTTTTTTGCTTGAAACAGTACGTCAAGATGCAGTGCAGTACAGAGTCATTTTTTTTAAATTACGCTTGTTTTTTATTATATATACAGACACAGACACCCATTTCTGGCGCATTTTTTGAGTCATTGAACTTGTGATCCCCTTTTCCCGTTAAAAAAGTAAGAATTTTAAAAAAAGGACTCTGTACTGCACTGCATTCTGAGATGCTCTTTCAAACAAAAACAAAAATTAAATATATTGAAAGAGCCTAGACAAAGAAAAATGGATTGCCAAATGAGCTATTTTGACTCTTGTTTGATTCATATCTCTGTCAAACATCAGGGTATCGAGCTGAAAATTTTACCACAGCCTCCTCACTTCAGCCCTAACATATGTTCCAAGTTTCAGCCCATTTGAACGTTTCTGGGCTGAGATCGATTCTTGAGGGGGGAAAGCCTTAAATATTTCTTGTATTTCAAACTTTAAAATATATTGACGTAGAACAGACATCATCAAGTGCGAATTAAAAATAACAATAATTAATCAACATAACCTTAAACAATCTACGATCGCCTACATTCATAATATGACACACTCTGATTAATAATACAAATCATGAAAAAAACAAACTTAACCTTCAGACTATATTTATATTTGTAGCTTGCTAAAGTACGTAGGTAGATAACATGTGCGCTATTCAAATTTAGATCAGTTTTCTTTCTCATAAATAAACAAATCAATGATATTATGTTTTTTCTCTTTTTTCTTGCTTACCTTACCTGTATAGGATGCCTATTGATAACAGATGAATACGAACTGTATTTAACGTACGTTTTCTTAGTCTAGTTAAAGAACGATATGACAGATTATCAGTATATATAGATATATATATAATTTAGATTTTTGTTTTACCATTAAATTATTTGACATAGGTGAAACGATTGACTATTCTTTTGTTTTCATTTAATTACAAATATAAATCTTCATTCATGCAATCGACAAACATCGACATGGATTTTCATTCTCATTCATTATTATTAAAACAATCTGAACAAGAATATATTCAATCAAAAATATCGAATATTAATTCTAAACAGGTATTTATACAGAACGAAAAAACAAAATATTCTTTTTTTAGAAATCTATTATAGATTTTATCACAATTCATACATAATCGTTTAAAACATCCTCGAAAACCTTGTAGTCCTTATCTTATTCAAAATCATGATCGTAATCGTCAACACCGTCGTCGTCGTGTACCAGTAACATTTGACATTACTCATCAATCTAAAAATTCAAATGAAATTAAAAATCAATTGAATCTAAATAAGAACAAAATTAATAATGAATTATTAAAACCAATTGAAAATATGGAACAAGAAGAAAATCATTTGAATAATTCACATGAACAAATTAACGAACAACAAGCACAATTACAGAGAGCTATATATAATGCTAAACAAACACCATTAATTCCTTTTATTGTTGATATAGATTATCATTCATTATTTGATTTATCACAACAACAGAATGATCTATTGACTAATATTTTAAGTTTAGTACATAATGTTAATGAAGAGTGTTCATTTTTCGAACAATTTAGAATTTAAATGGAATAAAAGATATTATTTATGTATATTTATTTATCTAGATTACAAATAAATTGTTAAAATATTTCAAAAAAAAAAAAAAACTTTTTTGTAAAACTCTATTAGTGTTAATAAACGCCATCTGTAATGTAGTGTTTAATGATATTCTTATTTTTAGAATTACTACCAATCATTTTTTCTTGGAGAATTTTAACTTCCGACTTTTTATTTATATGAAGTATTTCCAATATTAACTGCCTCAAAGAGAAATAAAATATCCCAAATACTTTCGATTTTGAAGAAGTATTATGTTTTACATTTCATTGTCGAATAATAAAATATCTTAAAGTAGAGAAAAAAAGATTTTGCTTATTTGTTGCGATGTTATTGACAAATTGTTCTTCTTACTCTTTTTTATTTAGTCTAATTATTGACGAGATTATGATGTATTTTATCTTTTATTCTTGTCAAATTTATCATCGCAATCTCATTTTGTTTTTTGCTCTAGATTTCCAATCTTATTTCTTATATATATTTTCTTTATTAGTTCTTTTCAAATGTATTACATTAAGAATTTCAATCGAATTAACTTCACGTTCAAGGACCCAGAAAATAAAAGAAAAAGTATTTCGGATGATGGTACTGGCATATAAAAATTCTTCTCGTTCAAATTAAACGATTAAAACAAACATTTTCATCAATTTTATTGCATGATTTTGATAAAAAAATCAAATTCATTACATTTTCTTCATGAAAATATCGCTTTTAATCCATAAATTCGAAAATCATGAATTCTTATATGCTTGTTTGATCGTCCGAAACGTCAGTTTTTTCATGTTTTTGATATAGAACTTACGAAAGTCATGGTTTCTTCATATTTTTTAAGTTCACAGATGGCCTTGCGACAAATGTATAAACAAAAACAATAATAAATACTTTCATTTTGTCGTTTTATACATATTTGTCATTATTAGTGCCTTGCGAAATCAAACTTTTTGACTTCGAAAATTCTTTTTGGACTGGGATATAAAGTTCTTGTTGTGCTACTTGCTGTAGAGACTGTCTTTCTAATAGCTTTTTTCTTAAAACTTATCTATGAGTCTATGGAGTAGTGTATTGTTGTTCATTACTTATAACAAATCAAGAATAATGTTGTTACTATGAAAGAGTAAAAACCCTTGACGGTTTTTACTGATCTAACTCTGAAAAAATTCTTTATGATCACTCTGTCGAAGTCGAAGTTCAATGCAGAATTCTCATCATTATCTGTATGGTATTTTTCCATATTGGTTTTTTCTCTTCAGGAAGAATAAATTTTTCATAACAAGACGCGAATAATAATAACTTTGTCTTTGTTTTTATTGCTTAAATTTTTTTTTGCTCTGGTACTATGTGTTATTTAGAACAAAATACTAACAAATACTTTGTCAATGGAAACAAGATATCTATTTGTACTTTGTTTCAGATTTCTATTTATTTATTCTAACTAAATAATACAAGAGAAAATTGTTTTATATTAATACATACAAACTGAAGAGTTTAATAAACAAAAAAAAAACCAACACAAAGAACATAATTATCCGCAGTGTTTCTCATTTAATATTTTAGAAAAGTATGTTTTTTTTTGTCATGGAAATTTCCATTTCATATAAACTTTGTCATAAACACATCTATCATAAAATTTAATTGATTTGATATTATCTTTTTTCAATATTTCTTCTAGAATTACTTCCATGACGTATATAAAGAATTCAAATATTTTTAATTGTATTATTAGAAAATTTTGTCATTCATGTACAATATTTATAACATTGAAAATAACTTATGTAGAAAAAAATCCTTATGAATCATAAAAATGACAAACAAAATGTTTAGTTTAAAAGTCAATGAGAGTTTTTTCTTTATGTTAAACTGTAGATTAAATCTTTTAAATAGCCAATATTCATTTGTTCTATTTGTTATGTCACATGGTCGTAATTATCATCGATCAATTATAAAGGTTTGTGAATATGATGATTCAGAAATACCCATGAATAATTCCTCCAATATCAATCAAAATTACAACAGAGTAAGTTTTATGTTTTCTTCCTACTGTTCTTTCTGGCATACATTTGTTGATTCATGGCTTTTTTCACAAGGGCATCTAAAAGAAAAAGAAATTCATAGTCAGTCATTTTTCTATAGGTTATTTGAGAGTTTCTTTTTTTTCCATTTTTACTTTACCATATAATGGCAGACAATAGAAAACTTTTATTTCCGATGACAAAGATCTATAATGAATTTCAACAAGAATTTATACCAGATCAATGTTTTGTAAGTTTTTGAAAAGAATAAATTCGAATTTATTAAAAAAATTAATTCATTCAATAAAGCATTTCGATTTATTTTTCATTTTTTTAGTCTTTAATCAATCCTGTTGTTGCATCAAATGATATTGATGATGAAGAAATAGCTCAACAACATCAAGTAGAAGGTTTTTATGAAGTTTTAAAGCTTGCTAATGAACCAACACCTGAAATTATGCCTTCAATTGATATGAGACCATTAGAAGAAATCGATGCGGACACTGCATATGCTTTTCAACTTCAAGAAGAAGAATATGCAAAAAATAGTATTCCACCATTTCTAACACATGAACAAAATTCAAACGATACAACAGCTTCAAATACTATTGTCAATGTTGATGATCATCTCATAGTTAGTGATGCAGAATATGCAGCACATTTACAAGCAGAAGAAAATCAAAAACAACAGAAACATAATCAACGACGAATACCACATTCAACAACTAATCGAAATGATCAATCTAGGGAATCTGAGAATATACCTATTCCACCTTTTCTTAACCCTACAAATCATCATCCTTCATTTGGTGAAAATAATAATCGTTTTATCAATGATCTTGCATCCTTAATACGAACTCTTGCCTCTAATAGTCTACCATCTCATGGTCATAGAAATAGAAATGGAAATATTGAAAATACCGAAGAAGATTTTGGTCCAGATGATTATGAAGTAAATTATTATAGTTTAAAATTATATTTTTATCAAGATTTATACTTTTTTTTTATTTTTAGAATTTACTTGAACTAGATGAGTCAGTCAGGAAAAAAGTTTTATCTAATGATGAAATTAATAGATTACCAACTGAAACATTTCGTCGTTTACCAAATACAAGTGCTGAAGAAAATCAATGTAGTATTTGTTGGGATGACTTTGAATTAAATCAAACATTACGTCGATTACCATGTGTTCATCGATATCATCAAACTTGTATAGATAATTGGTTAAAAGTAAGTCAATCTCTATTTGTATTTCATTTTAAAAATCTATTTGACTTGATTTTTTTGTTTTTGTTTAAATTTAGACTAGTAATTTGTGTCCTGTTTGTCGGAACGCCATCAATTAAATAATCAATAAATAATTGAATATATATTGTTCTCCATGATAATAAACTTTCACATCGTGAATTATTTTCTGTTTTTTTTTTGTCCCAATATACAATTTTTATTGATAATATGATTATATTCTTCAATAAAAATGTGATCTTTTTACTCTTGTAAATAGTCTATTGTCATTATTTATATCATTTCTTTTTCTTTATACTTCAATAAAAAATAATCATGATTATAATTTTTATATGTATCTACTTTTAAAATAGTTAATCGATGTATATGTATCAAAATCTAATCATTTAAGATTTTAAAAACGAATGCATTTTCTACAATACTAATCAACAATATAAGATCAATGTGTGATACCAAATATTTCACTTAAGTCGAAATCATAGATTGCATAGCTAATGAAGTTCTCTATCAAACGTATTCTATGATCGAAGTTTCATAGATGGACTATGAGAGGAAGGTTGTAAAAAATCGAATACGATAGTTTTTAGATCCCAGAAGACTGTATGAAAATTAGTTTCTAAGAGTATTATCTTAAAAAAAAAAACGAGATTCAGAATAAAATGAGAGGTAGAACTTGTCGACTTCAAAATTTTCGATTACAATAAACAATTGTTATGAGAGTGTAAATAAAACAGCTATCGAAAAAGTGTTCTTATCTATCAAAAAGAATATTTAAATTTTAGTGTACATCTGTATCATTGGATTACAGGTTTGCAACGAGCACTTCTGTCTACAACAAATAGACGAATTTGATTGTAAGTTCTAAACTGCTGTTCTTTTCTTCTGTATCTCTGTAACTCATTTGAATCATTAACTGTTACTCAATGGCCGCCCAAATAGAATAATGAGAACTGTCGTTCAGCAAAAGATGATGACGAATGTTTAATCTTGCTTTTTTTTGTACAAGATAATAGTTTATCTATATCTTGTTCGTATTTATCAAATTGTGAATCAATACATTTTCGACTTCTATTTTTGATCATTTCTTTTGTTTTCGATGATTTTTGTGATCGAGAGAGCAAACCAAATAAAAAAGCATCTGCATTCGATTCGACCTACTTTCTACAAAATTCAATTAAGATTTGATTCAATTTGACTGACGAAGAGACCTCTTCAAATATCCCCATCCGATTTCAGTTAGGTTTTTGTTTGTAGATATTATATAGTGTTTTAATAAAAAACTCTAAAGGATTTAGGTTTCTAATGATAACTAGACTAGCCTTCACAAAAAAAGAATCAGAAATTTTGAACAATATCTCTTCAACCTATGAGACTTTGAAGATATAGATTCTTTTCCATGGATAATGTATACAGCATGCATTTTTTTGAAAGCTTTCTGTCTCGAAGAGGTTTTATTCAAATCTTCTGAATTTTTTTATAGAAGCTAATCTAGTTGAGCTCTGTATATTCATAAAGTTTCAGATCAAAATTCGAATATAAAAATTTTCCGAAAACTTGAGACCTTATAGAAAACAGACATATTAAACTTATAAAAAATATTAATAGGAACTGAAATCCTTTGAAATTTTTTATTAGAACACTATGTAGTATCTATAAGTCAATAAAAATCATTGAAATCTGAATGGAACTTCTGGTGAAGATTTTTCGTGAGTCGAATCGAATGATTTGTTTATTCGACTTGATTTCGGTCTCTATTTTTTAATATGCAAAAAAGAAGCCTAGAGATGAATGATTGCATATTATCGACATCTGTTGAAAGTTTTCTATATACTCAAAATAGATCGATAGAAAACGAAAGAGAACAACTAACTAACAGAGCGATCCATTCGTTCTCAACATTTATGACTCATGATATATTAATATTTCTTTCTCAAGGTATTTTCTAGAAAATCATAGAATGTCTACAAATAATCAAAATGATCAAAAAATTCCATTTTCAACAGATCATACAACGGATCAATTATAATTAGAAAATATTATTTCATAAAAGAATCTTCTTTAAAATATTCATATTCTTATATTAATATAGATGGTGTATTAGAATGATCTCAACAAATTGAAGAAATCAATATTGATCTAGCTGATCAAAGTGATAGCTTTATTAGAAGATTATTTATTTATTCAAGAAAAAAATTTTGTTTTTAGTTTAGAAACCGATGATAAAAGTTTTCTTGATTCAGGTTTTCTAGAACATTTAATTGAATGTTATCCAATAACAACTGCTGAAGATGTATCAGTGATTAGTATTCTATGTGATATTTGTCTAAATGAATATAAATCAGATGATAAACGATGAACTATTCCGTATTTACATAGTTTTGATAGTAAATGTATTGATAAATGGCTTAAGGTTATGTTTTAATTTTGTTATTATGTTTAAACTAAATATTTTTATTTTCAACTTATAGATAAAATCAAAATGTTCAATATATTGAAATGATTTACGAAAATTCGAATGGTATTCTGATGAAATCATATGAATATTTTCTTGTTATTCTCAGAGAGTTCTTTTTTTTTTATTTCTTATAAAAAGTTATCATCAATAGAACATCGATGACATAAATATTCTCATGTTATTTATATTAATTTCTATACTTTTTATTATTCTGTATTCTTTTAGTGAAGGTAAATTATTTCTTTTTTTCTGTGGAGGTTTTGATTTTATTATTTCTAGAATGGATTATTCATATATATATATATATATATACACATACAGGCAATGAACATTTGGCTGGAACTGATAGTAATATTTTTCTTCGTTTATTTAATTCAAAATATAGTTATACTCATAAATATAAATTAAAACATGATGATTGGAAATATTATTTTTCCATTGAAAAATCTATTTGAATATGATGAACATGATCAATTTCGAATTTTTATTGATAAACTTGGATTTGTAGAAAATATTCATGTAAGAAAATTTGATTTTCTCTTTTTCTTTTTAAAAATTTCAAAATAAATAAAATTTAAATTGATGAATTTACTAAAAGTGAAAAGCATAATAATTTAGGTTGTATTAACAATCGAGTTCATCAGATCCGGATCCGGAATTGATTCGATAGACTCTAGTTAACATTCTTTCATCATAGTAAATATATGACATTATAAACACATATAGCATATGCTATTTTTTTTTTCTCCGATGATATAAGTTACGTGGCTTTTCTTTCATATGGAGAAAAAACATAAATAATTTTAATTATTGACCTTAACTTAAATCAACAATAGAATTTACTTGTAGTATGATCACATAGAAATGTATAGTTTCAGTTTACTGACTGTTGATTTAATGTCGTTAATGCATACTGACACCAGTTTCCACTGAAGCACTGAAACACACTGCTACAAAAAAGACATTTTGATAGAGTTGGTGTCTTGATATTACAGCAAACGTGGATGTCAGTATTTCAGTATTTACATCAACACTACACATCGCTATCATCAACCTATTAAAAAAAAATTGACAGAAAATATATAAGAAAAAAAGCAAAGAGAATTTGCTTGAAATTTTATTTTATGATGAAATGTTTGTATAATTAGATTATTTCCATGCTAGAATTTATTATACATAGGAATTATTTATATAAACTAAAAGATGAACATGATCAAAATTCCGTTAAAATTTAATAGTTTTATTTTCTTTTGTTATATAATATTTTGTATTAAATTAAAATATTCTTCACCGAAAATATTATTCAATATTAAGTAATCCTATTTTCTCTTGTTCTATTTATATACTCAATAGATGTACTATTTTCTATGAATAGCGTTATTTACACGTCTGGCCGTAAAAACGTTAATTTTCAACAACATCAATCACAGAAAAGATGATTAATGAATAGACGACATAGATCATCGAAAGAATTTTCTATTCAACTACAGACTCACCTATATTTAAAAAAATAATGAATAAATTGCAAAAAATACTTTTCCAATTACATTAGAAATTGTCTTGTAAACAATAAAAAATTTTATTTTGTAGAATATTTAAAGAATTTTACACGCGTAAATCAATTATCAAAGTATTTTTATTCATAATTCATATTCATAGTGTCCGATACTGTTTTACATAGAATAGAATATCAAAAATCAAAAGCATACTTTTTTTTGCTTATATTTATTAAAAACACATTGAAGCAGATCTATAATATTGTAGTTATAAACTGAAATAATACGAATCTTTTCAATATGCAAAAAAGATTTACTGAGCCTTAAAATATTTCGTATTCTATTGTTCGCAGTTTGATTTATTTCCTTTTTTTTTTGTTCTACAATATGCAGTTCAAGTCTTTACTCTCATTTATTATTATATCCTTCGATCGTGTATCATCACTCAATCAAGATATTAAAAATTATCATAATAAGGAAAATAAAACGAGTATTTATCTTATAATTTTATTAATAATTATAAAAATGTCTTAATATAAAGCATAAAAATATCAATAAAAAATAATCCATGAATGATAACTTTTAAGGATTGATGTTTGCTAAAAGTATTTTCAAATATTTTAAGTTCGACGTAATAATTTTTCTATTATTTCAAGCTGATTAGCTTTTAGATCGAATTGTCATAGAAAACAATCATGATCGTATTAAATTTACATTTAAATATAATTGTTGGCTTCGAAAAGAACAACAATATATATATATATATATATAACTATCTCTGTCTTATCAGGTAATAAAATTTATTCTTTTCTTTCGAAAATGAAATATCAACTAAATAAAACAAAAATATTTGATCTTGAATAAATGTTACGTTCTTTCTATAGATCTACACTTTCTTGACAAAAACAAGTCATTGAAAAATAATCAAATGATTTTAATTGTTCTTATTGTTTCAATTACTTCGATAACATGTATTATATATTGCATTTGTGAATACTATAGTCATCATCAACATCGACATTTTTCATCGGTGCAAAATCAATGTGAATCATTGATTCTTAATTGATATCATTTACAAGTATCAGAATTATCACCATCACAAATTTTAAAGAAAAAATATTCAACATACATTACAATCTAATCATGATCGAATAGGTATTATTATTCAATTACCAATGATAATTTCAACAGATGAACTACCAGTTTATATAGGTATGATATTTATTATTTTTATATCATGATGACTTGTTTTTTTTTTCTTCTTTTTCTTTGTTTTTGATGGTTGCCTTATAGATTTATTTCCTAATTGAAAATATTATCTTGATGTGATTAAACCTATGCTTATCTTGTTGTTTTTGGTTTTTTTTTTGCTTTTATTATATTGTACAGTATTGTCTAGTCAAACACGTATTTCGTTTTAAAATATCAGATTACTGAATTATTTGATTCTCTCAAGGTCTCTCTCTTTTTTTTTTGCAATCGGTTATTTTTTTTTTTATCTTACTCTCTCTGTTTCTACATCCTTACCATCGGCACTTGTCTTTTTTTTTTTGTGCGTTTCATATTATAAAATTTCTAGGCTGGATTTCTTTTTTTTTCTTTCTCGTTTTCTATTCGTGTTCTTCTTCTTCTTCTTCTTCTTCTTCTTTCTCTTTTTTTCTTCCCTACTTTAATGCCGCTATCACACTATCATCACAGTTCTTCGCTTCGCTATTGATAAAAAGACTTTGGTATGTGATGGTGGCTTTTTTTCGCTTTACTATTGCGAACAGTGTCGAGCGATACAAGCAAAAAGCTTATGCGTGTGCGTGAAGATTGGCCGTCGTTGTTGCTGCCGAACGCGCACTATTGTCGGTAGCAAAAATATAGAATACAAAGAACGAGAGAAGCTGCATAGTATCTTGGCAATGATGTAAAACGGCGTGTGTGTGTGTATGTGGGAAACGACTGCACTTGCGCATCAGTTTTTACTCTCTTTCACATATGTTTAGTTCCGCGTTATCATCTTTATATCGTCGTCATTTCTTAACAAGAAGAATAACAATAGTCATGATTCTATCGTATGTGACAAGATCGTATGTTTTCTATTTTTTTTTCTTTCGTTTGTTTTCTTATTTGTGATTTTTACTGACAAAAGACAGCGACAGTGTTTGATACACAGAGATAGAGCGATAAATCAAAATAAACTATCATCATAGTTTGAAAGAAAATTATACAATATCCTTTTAGTTAGCTAAAATTAAAAAAAAAAACAATTTATATGATAATCATATTGATAGTTTTCGTTTGTTTTTTGTTTTGTTTTTATTGTGATTTAATATGAAACGATATATTTACATCCAAAATAGTAGTTTATATTAAAGATGTTTTTATGTACTACATTGATGAATTAATATAAGTGTAAATGTTTTAGCGTAAGTTGATTTGTAGGTTTTCTCTGTCTAAACATTTTTAATGGGGTGTTTGCATTTGTAAAGAATGAAAAGAGAGAAGAAAAAAAGAAAGGTATTTGTAGTTGTTATTGATATAATAGGTAGAAAAGTTGAGTATTCTTTTAATTAAAATAATACTAATCTTCACAAATAAATTAATTTTTTTTTTTTGATGATATTAAACCATCTAAGTATAATTATATTAAATAGAGAGAAGAATAATAGAGAACTGACGATTTAGTATCGATACAATAAAATAGTACAAAAAAAAAAAGAAAAAATGAGATGTTGATCATGATCTGTCAATCGAGATATATTTATTGTTTATGTTGAGTACATAAGTTTCTTGTTATCGTCCGATCATAGTTTTAATGATAGAGAAAAGTGGATCAAAAGTCATTTAATCAAGAAAAGAAAGAAAAAAGTCTTATTCTCTATTTCTATCTTTCTTTCTTTCTTTTTTCTTTCTTTCGTTGTCGAATATGATGACTTTCGATCGAGAACAGGACACTATTTCCTCTATTCTCCGAGCGGGTTACTTGCACATTTACGAGTCGAAGAAATGACATATGCGTGTTGATGCGTGCGTTTGCTTAGTATTCTCTTCGGTTTTTTTTTGCCGACATTTCTTATTATAGCAACGCGTTTTGTTTGTCCTGGAGAAGATAAAATGGACTCTATACATGCAACAAACATCTGTAAAGATCAAAAACTTGTATCCATATCAGATATATAAACCTTGAAAAATAAAATCTATTATCGTGAAGATCATAAAATAACACGAGCGTGATATATTTTATGAGCTAAATCAGTTTGCAACGACGCAGAAAAAAAAACCTTCGATATTGTTCGTTGTAATCGTAAATATTTGAATTTATATTCGTTCTTTTTTAGTACAAATGTAATTTTTTTTTTATCTTATTCTTACATCAATAAACATGAGACAGTATTATAGACTATTTTCTTTGGGCGTTTTTTTTTTTACCACGTTAGTACTTAATCACGATTGTTTTCTACTGTTGATATCTTCATACTTGTCATGTTAGCGTTAATAATTATTTTAACGACCAATTAGTTCAATAAAGATATTCGCGTAAAAATAAGAATAGATCAGTTGTCAGAGTTCCTCTTTGTTTTTTAAATTTTTTTAATAAGATAAGTAGTAGAAAAAAAAAACAATCGATTCGATGGATTGCACAGGAATTTTTTGCGGTAATGATCAATCCAGCTGAGTAAAAAAAAAAACCTCAAGAGAAAAACGAGTAAGATTAGTTATTGGCTTTGAGCAATATGTATACTTGTATTATTTACCTTGAATTTCATAAATATTTGTTAGTCGAAAAAAAACAACAACAATAAAATTTTCTGCTTATATAATACTTAATTAGCGAGTCCTATATCAACTTTATCCCTTATTATGATGATGACGTCATTTGTCGCTTTTGTTTCGCTTATGGCAAAAAAAGCTATAGAATATTTCTCGACAGCTCTTAGTTTTTTTTCTTCTTTCTTCGTCTGGATGCGATC